TTACCTGCGGTGAACAAAACCATTCTGGGTGTCTCCCAGACTTTGTTTCAATAGCAAACCACAATAAGGGCCAGACTGTCTCACCACAGAGACTCTCCCACTGGATCTCAGATTGCATCAAGCTTTTCTGTACATGGTCAGACATGCCGCCTCCAGATAGCACAACGGCACACTCAGCCAGAGCCCTGGCTACGTCTATAGCATTCCTCTATAGAGTACCCATAAGAGACATCCACGCAGTTGCCACGTAGTCCTCTGACCACACATTTGCAAAGCACTATGCACTTATGCAAGGACCTCGCTCCAACTTGAAACAAGCTTCGGTGGTTCTTCCCACTGCTTTTCTGCCAGATCCAAAGTCCCTACCTCCCTAAAGGGAAATTGCTTTGTAGTTACCAGATGTGGAGCACCCACGTGGACATTTCTCTCTTGAAGAGGATATTACTTACCTCAATATTAACTGACGTTCTTTGAGATGAGTGTCCCCGTGGGTGCTCCACAACCCTCCCTTCCTTCCCTCTACTTTGGGATCCTGGCCTTCTCAAGTCATCGTTTTGGGGTAGAGAAGGAACTGAGGAGTGGAGTGGGAGGGGAGGGGCTTGCACATGCGTGATGCCTACAGCCTAAGAGTGCGCAGCAGCTGCTGCGTGCATGCGTAGCTCCAGGGACACTGCTATAAAATCTCTGCTCTCAGGCTTGGTGGTGGCACATTGACCTAATGTGGAGCACCCACAGGGACACTCATCTCAAAGAATGTCAGTTACTATTGAGGTAAGTAACCTCCTCTTGCTCACTTTTTCCACACCAGACATGATTTTATAGACCTCTGTCATATCCCCCCTTTGTCTCCTCTTTCTAAACTGAAAAGTTCAAGTCTTTTTAATCTCTCTTCAGAAGACGGATGCAAAGGTTTCATTTTGTTTCTCTGCAATGGCCTTACTGTCCTTGAGTGCTTCTTTAGCAGCTGGATCATGCATTGGCTGCAAATGGTTGTTTAGCAGGTTTCCTGCTTCTGATGTACTTAATTTTTTTTTTTTAACTATTAGTTTTCGAGTCTTTGGCTAGCTGTTCTTCCAATTCTTTTTTGACCTTCCTAATTATATTTTTCTACTTCTTTTGCCAGACTTTCTGCTTCTTTCTGCTTTCCTCATTCGGATTTAACTTCCACTGTCTCATCTAAACAATGCCTTTTTGCCTCTTGCTGCTTCTTTTGCTTTGGTGTTTAGCCATGGTGGCACTTTCTTGGCTTTCTTTTTATTTTTTAACTCAGGGTATACATTTAAGTAGAGCCTCTATTATAAAAAGTTCCAATGCAGCTTACAGGGATTTCACTTTTGGAACTGTTCCCTTTAATTTCTGTTTAGCTAACGTCCCCATTTTTGCGTAGTTAAATGCTACCATATTGGGCTGTTGTTTCCTGCCACAGTGATGTTAAATTTAATTATATTATGGTCATTATTCCAAGTGGTCCGGTGATATTGCCTCTCCTTTTGTGGATTCTAAGAATCTGCTCCAAGAAGCAGTCCTTTAAGATATCAAGAAGTTTCTCTCGGCATCCCATCCTGAGGTGAAATATACCCAGTCAATATGGGGATAGTTGAAATACCCCACTATAACTCAGTTTTTAATTTTAATAGCCTCTCTAATGTCCCTGAGCATGTCACAGTCACTATCACCATCCTGGTCAGATGATTGGTAATATAACCCTACTGCTATATTCTTATTATTAGGGCATGGAATCAAGGTTTAATTTGTGCATGAGACACTAAAAACTAAAGGCAGAATTTAAGAATAAGCATTATTAGTACAATAGGAATCTTTACAACAGTGTTTCCCAAACTATGGGCTGCGGCCGGGTATTGGGCCGCGGGAAAAAAATACCGAGCCTCAGCGTGGTTGCCGGGAGGGGAGCAGAGCGGGGTGGACTGGGAGGAGGCTTGTGTGTGGGGAGGGATACTGGCTGCCGGGAAGCAGGGTTGGGGTTAGTGGGGCTGTCCCGGAGAGATTGGAGAGGGCAGGCGCGGAACCAGGACTGGATGGGGTGGGGAGGCTGGTCTGGGGAGATCAGGAGGAGGAGGACGGGAGAACCAGCTGCCAGAAGCAGGGCTGGACGGGGGCAGCGGGGCTGGTTGGGGGAGGCAGCTGGAGGAGATCAGGAGGAGGAGGATGGGAGAACCAGCTGCCAGAAGCAGGGCTGAATGGGGGCAGCGGGGCTGGTCGGGGGAGGGGTGTTGGGGGAGCTGGGCTGACCAGGGGAGATTGGTGGGGGGCGGGGGGGAACCGGCCGCCAGAAGCAGGGCTGGACTGGGGAGATCGGGAGGAGAAGAGGGGAGGGAGTGGGACTGACCTGGGCACATGCAGACCCAGGCACACGAGTGAGTCCAGCCCTGGGGATTCCATTTTGCCCGCCCACCCCACATACCCTCCCTTGAGTAGTTGTGAACTGCCTGGCTGGTAGACACACTCACGCAGCCTGAGCACATCTACCAGCCAGGCAGTTCGCAGCTAAGGACTGATACACCTAATTATAATGAAATTTACCTAATTAGAAAATATAAGTCATTTTATATGTCTGGTAAATTCTCAGTTTGACAAAACCCTCAAATACCAGACTGTCCGGTACAAAACTGGACACCTGGCAACACTACCCTTCCTTGCACCTTCCCTTCTAGCCAGATACCCTACCCACAATCTACTCCTGCTCCCGCCTCCTGGAGCGCTCGTGTGGTGCCGGGTTCCCCAAGCTCTGGCCTAGGTTGGGCGGAGGATGCAGCCAGGTGAAACACTGAAAATTAATTCATTTTTTCATTCTTTTTTTTATATGCCTTTATATTTTTGGGCTGCAAAAAACAGTACTGAAAAAAATGGGTTCCAACTAAAGTAAAAGGTTTAGGACACCCTGATCTAGCCAGCTTTCTATCCATTTTACAGTCCATTTATCCAATCCATATTCCCTTCACTTGCTGGCAAGAATGTTGTGGGTGACTGTATCAAAATCTTTGCTAACGCTGGCACTGGGGGCTTTGGGAGGACCAGAAACAACTTATTTGAATATTCATCATTTGCTTAATGAATATGCAAATGAATGTCACTGGTCCTCCAAAAGCTCGTAAATGGATTTATTGGTCCCAGTGTCAAAAAGTTGGGGAACCCCTGCTTTACAAGATGGTCCTAGGTGCTGCCTGGGACTTTTCTCTCACTTGCACTTGCAAACAACTCCAGGAGATCCACTTGCTTAAATACAGCTTTTGCCTTTTTTCCTCCCTCATCCTGTGTGCTTTTCACACGGGAAACTCCTAGTTCAGGGCTTCTCTCCAATCACGTGGACTGGCCATTAACTCTCCTGTGCTTTGCAACAAGAATTAAACTGAGAAAAGTTCAACAGCCCCCACTGCACATACCCAATCCCTTAATGAGTCTGCTGGAAGTTACTGCATGGCATCTTCAGATTTTTCTATTAATACTTTCATCCTGGTTGGGTGTCTCTCAGAGGCGACTGGAACTGGGAAAATACCAATTTGTTTAAAGCAACAAATTAAGTGGAAATGGGTCAGTTTAGACAAATCTTTCAATGGAACATAGGTTTCAAAACTTGTGCCAGCCAGGTTTCCTGCCAGCTTGCCTACCCAGCTCTTTGGTATCCTGACCAAACAATTGCTTTGGTTTTGGAATCTTGATTCCCAGGACTTCCAGAGTCTGTGCTTCCACAATAGCCAGCATGTCTAGAAAGACTGTCTGAGAACCTGTGATCCCAGGGCTTCCAGCATCCAGAACTGCCTGAGCTAGCCCTCTGGGTTATCTAGCTCTCTGGACAGCTGTTTCCTCAAGCTTTGAAAGACAGAAAGGTCAAGGAACAAGTAGTTCCAGGAGTCTGGAAGCCCTGGGGTCTTCACTTCTGAGGGAATCTGCAAGTGAGGGCTGCTATGGAGCCAGGAACCCTAGGACCTCTGGAAACTCCTGGCTGAAATTGACGAGATTCTCAGTTTCAGGAATAAGCACCACTTAACAGCAATGGTAAGCCCCTAATGCATTTTGTTTCAGAACATATTTTAGTGTTTTCAAAACATTTTTGCGGGATTTCAGTTCTATGAAAATTTCTGAATTTTTGTCTTTTCATTCCAATTTGCAATGGAATTTTATTTCCAGAACAGTTCTATCAATGATCACCTAATGTGCAAGCCTATACACCTTTTGCTGTAACGTTATGTGCATGTATGCACTGTATACATATACATTTATTTCCTTCTTTTGTGCTGCATTAAAATGACTCAAATTCAAAACTATTTAACTCCTGTTGTAAATTGGTCATAAAATCCACCTGTGTAATAATAAATCACATCAAATCTCTGAGTTCTTTTAAAGTTGTAGTGCTCAATCTTGATTTTTTTTTAAAAGTGATGTGTCTGTGTGTGCTGTGTGTGCACTTTTCCTAGTGTCCCCAAAAACCTTAGGCAGCTATAACTTCAGGAAGTAATTCATCTCTAGCCTAGACTGAGAACCATTGGGTGGACATTTTACCCACAGAAATCCATTGATTTCACAGTGGTGTACCCAACCAGAACATGAGCGCAGTAGCACTGGCTTATTTAAGAGATTTCTAGATGGCTAGTTAAAAGCCACATTAGGATCTTGAGACGGTGGCTCTAGAGGTGGACTGTTACATGGTAATTTTATAACAAATTGTAGCATAAACCTAGTACGTTTTGTTCGCTCTGTCTGGTGATTTTATCACCTCTCATCTCATTTATGTATTGCCAACTCAGGGCCTGGGCTATCTTTAGTGCTCTGTGTTTGTAGGATGCTTAGCAATATGTGCCCTGGGCCTTTATTAAATATAAGCAATAATAAATACATAATAATCAATCATGGAAAATGCGTAGGGAGCACACACATTCCTTTGGGCCGGAGGCTTAATGAGCACGGGGAGAGAGGAAGAGGTTAGCAGGAGATGCATAAACGTTTGGAAAGTTGCGGAGCAAGGTCACTGCTGTCTGATGATCTGGTTAGAAAGGTCAGGAGGCGGCACACTACGGCTGTATGCAGGAGGAGCTAGAAGAAGAGGACAGGGAGGTGGGTGAACCTGGCTTCCAGAGTGTGTGTTTTGAGGGAGCAGCTGTACCCCACACAAAGAGGTCATGGTGAGCCGGAGTGAACGCTAGTCCACCAGCGGGAAATGGGGGGAGGGGTGGGAAGCGGCACGAGCGGGGTATTTACAGCTGGAAATCGGATGGGGGAAGGGTTGGGAACTCCCCCGCCAGAACTCGCTGGCTTCTGTGACACACATGCCCGGCGCCCGCGAGAGCGGGGAAAGCGGCGCTGTCGCTTTAAGGCGTGGCGGTGGGAGCGGTGCCGCACAGGCAGCGGGCGCAGGGGAGGCAGCGCGCCCGGAGCGGGGCAGAGGCGATGCTGCGTTAGCCATGTCCAAGCACCCCCCCTCCTCCCACAGCAAGAACGGGCTGGCGGACGGGCTGCACACCCCCATCTTCCAGGTGCCTTCCCCGCGCGGGGAGCATCGCCTCGGCGCGGGCTGCCATGGCTGCGGTGGGTGCTGGGCTAGGCGGGAGCCTGGCGCCCTTAGGCCGCGGCGGGCTCCGGGCGGGGGGTGGCTCCGGGCTCAGCCCCCGGCCCTTGGCGCGTCCGGGCAGCTCCGCTCCCCGCTGGACCCGTGGGGCCCCTGTTCAGCGGGGCCCCGCCGGCTGCCCAGCCCGCCCTTGTGACCCGGTGTCTCTCCCCTCCGCCGCCCCCGGCGAGTGCAGGTGACCCGCGGGACCGCGACCCGGCGCAGCAGGTTGAAACGATCCGACGGCAGCACCACGTCCACCAGCTTCATCCTGCGGCAGGTAGAGTGGGGGCGCGGTGGGGGGCTGCCGGGGCGCCCCGCTAGCGCTCAGCTCCGGCAAGTCCGCCTGCCGGCTGGCTGTGACACGCGACTCGGCTTTCTCCTGCCCCCGGCTTGCAGGGACCGGAGCGACCTCTCTCCCCACCTTGTGACTGGGGCTCTCAGGCGGGCTCTGCAAAGCCTTGTTCTTCCCTCTGCAAAGCACTGCTCCGCTCCGGCTTCAACTTCGCTTCGCTTTTAGCCCCTGAGTCCGTATTCGCTTTGCTGGCGAGACCGCTCCCCCCCACGGAAACGCAATGTCTGGGGAGGCACGCAGCAGGATTCGGGTTGATCTAAAATATTTCAGGTGGAGTGAGAAGCCTTTGGGCAAACAGGAGTGTGTGCGAGGAGGGATGCATCAGTTTTCAAGCCATATACATAACTGAGATTTGGGTCAGAGGGGCTTTGAGATAAGGGTCGCTGCAATGTTTTCCCCCAAATATTTGGGACAAGGCAAAGGAAGGGAGTGAGGAAATAAAAAGGGAAAGGCTCCTATTGACTTAGATTCATCTTGCTTAAACTAATAGGTGGACGAAGATTGGAATCATTTCTGTGTTAACTTCCAGTTTTTGAATATTTCTTGAAAAAGCTGCATTAAAGACTGCCAGGCTCTGAGATGCTGTCTGTTAAAGTCCATCTCAGGCAAATGCGGAAAGATGGACTACTAGATACAGTGAGGTAACCAGGGTCAGTCACATGTAGTCAGTTCTATCAAGTGCTGACTACAGAATCCATTTAGACTTGCTTGGAGGCAAATTCATTCTCTCTCCTTCCCTATGTGTACTGAAGAATTTTGGTGAAGAACCTACTTGTTAGCCTACTATATTTAGGGAACTTTAGCTCTCCCAGTTCCAGACTGAAATATTAAGGTCTCTGTACAATTATACATAAGATTTTGTTTTTCAGATATACATATTTTTTCCCTACTTATATGGTGTGTGAAGTAGGAAAATAAATGTCAGCGTGTATTTTTAAATACTAGTGACATGGCATATTCAGCACATATTAGACATATTTTAATGTTGTTTTCTCCTAAATGACCCAAAATAATTTGTGAGAAAATAATTGTGTATTTTATTTATTCCAGTTTTTGCTCCATAATCACTAAAAATTACAGCAGCAGAATTTGAAATTAACATTCAAAAGCTAATTTGCCATTTGTTCTCATAAGAAACCGCCTTTTTCTCGACAAGTATCAGAGCGGCAGCCGTGTTAGTCTGTAGCCACAAAAACAACGAGAAGTCCTTTGGCACCTTAAGGTGTATCAGATTTATTTGGGCATAAGCTTTCATGAGCATGCATCTGATGAAGTGGGTTTCTGCCCATAAAAGCTCATGCCCAAATAAATCTGTAGTGTTTAAAGTACCTCTTCACTATAAACTCTTAGCTTAATAAATAATTGATGGCATCTTTAAAGAAGCCCTAGATAGTTTTATCTGGATTTTCTTGAAACTTTATTTTTAGGCAAATTGATTAAATCCACTTGGAAAAAATTGTGGATTTTTGATGCATTGGAACCTGCATTTTGTAAACACTGATGTGTTGTGGGTTCTCTCTCTCTCATATATGATGGGTACTTTTGCATCTGCAGAGACGCATGTAGGGCCCATGCAGATTGGATTGTAGGGTCAAGTCTGTAGCATTTTATCTATCTGTCTGAGGCCAACATGCATCTCAATACCCCAAAACTTTGTGTCAAGTTTGGATTTGGATCTCAATGTAGGCCATATTGCGAACATTAGGTGTCCAAAAATTGTCAGGTTTAAAAGAAATTGTAAGCTTGGCTCAAATATGATTTTATATTACACTGTGAGTTCTTTGTATGTATCTTCTAGTCTCTGAGCTGTTGGAGTACAATTGGGTCATGTTTTCCAGTTTGTGCAAAAGAGCTGAATTTTTCAAGTTGTTACTTTACTCCAGGTGCTGGGGCTTTAAAAAACACCAAATATCATGACATTTGTGAGTAAATTGTGAGTTGGCAATGATATTTTAGTTTTAGACTGGTGGGTACTAATCCTTTTTCTTGTATGACAAGAATGTCACAGGAACAATTTATGTGACATCCTCTTGTCTATATTCACCCTTTCCACTCTTCTGTTGTTGGCTGCTAACTCGCCTCATAAAAAATTATGTCCATGGTGTGATTGAAGCTCTGGTATTCTCTCCCAGGTGATGTCTACTCAGTAAACACAATTTTAAAGTAGTAAATTATAAAATGTCATTATCTTGGATGGTTTGTTCTTTCTTTGTATCAAGAGAGTTTTCTTGTTTTGAGGTGTAAGTCCTCATTCATCACACAAGCTGAACTCCCAGTGCAAAGAAAGCAGAATCGGGCCTCTGAGAAATTTTGGGATATTTTGCCATCGAAAGAACATCTTTCATTTAACTAGACTGTATTGAAGTGCAGGATACTGAAGTGGTGAATTATGTTAGCCCCACAGAAGAAGGGAATATATAACCAATGGAATTAATCATTTCCAATTACTTTGTGGTATTTTATCATCTCTGCAACTCCACAAATCAGAATAAGAGCAATTCCATGCTAGCAAACCTTATTTTGTTAGAAACGAGATCAAGCCACTACCGTAGCACAAAAGAGAGAGAACACAGTATGCAACATGACTTGAAACTGAATAATTGCAAAAAAAACCCCCAAAATATACATGCATGCAATTTAAATTCATGTTCATGGATTGAGCTATTTCAGCAGGTCTTACAAAAATGGTATGGGCGCTTCTTGTACGTGCCAGAAAGAAAGAGTCTAAAAGATTCTGTACATCCTTTAAAGTGATGGATTTCCAGTGTAGTGTTAAAGCATCAACTGTGTGAGTAGGACTGCATTTGATTTTTTTAATCCTTTCTAGTTTGCACTGTAAGGGAACTGAGCATCTGTTCCTGCATGTGGCAATATGTTCTGAATTTCCTCTGGAGTGAAAGGCACTTGTTTTCTCCTGGTGTTGCTCAAGACTGTGCAGAATTTGGCCTTCAGCAGCTGGCCTTGCAAAACCACTACTCTCATGAGTAGTGTTAAGTTGACTGCCCAGTTGAAGCCAGTGGAGCTACTTGTGTAAGTGTTTGAGAGTCAGGCCCCAACTACTCGGTTGTCAGATATAACAGAGCTCAATTGTGACATCTTATTTGAGTTAAAATGTGTGGAAATGTTCTCTGGGCTTTGCAGTTTGTTCAGCTGCTCATGTTCCAGTGCTTTGTGTAAGTGCTTAACTATATTAAGTTGACTGCCCAGTTGAAGCCAGTGGAGCTACTTGTGTAAGTGTTTGAGAGTCAGGCCCCAACTACTCGGTTGTCAGATATAACAGAGCTCAATTGTGACATCTTATTTGAGTTAAAATGTGTGGAAATGTTCTCTGGGCTTTGCAGTTTGTTCAGCTGCTCATGTTCCAGTGCTTTGTGTAAGTGCTTAACTATA